GATTAATAACAGAATATAGACATACAAATTAAAAAGTGTAGCAATTAAATACTTTTATGTTCTTATTTTGGATTGGCAGAGAATATTGGTAGTTGATGATGTTTTGTCCCAAACAGAATGTTGTGGTTTGGTTGTGCTCGCTGAGAAGAGATCACATGAAAGACTTGGAAGACAAAATTAATACGTATGTTTTAAAATTGATAAATTAAATCACTTTTGTAGTTAACTTTTTTTTACTTATCTATTTCAAATATAATTATCCTTTATATTTTGGCTTATTTTGTCTTTCAATGTTATATGAATATTTATTATGTTACAATGCATTTCATACATATCACAGGTTAAAGAAAACGTAACTATGAGGTTAAAAGAAAATGTAACAATGAAATAGCAGGTTAAAGAAAACGTAACTATGAGGTTAAAAGAAAATGTAACAATGAAATAGAGAAGCCGACGTGGGTTTAACCTAAGGTAAATTCTTTGAATTATGCTAAGTGTTTTAATTTTATTATTTCTTTGTTGGTTGTATGCATCGATTTAGTTTGTGTAATATAAATGATAGTTTTATGTTTTTCATACAAGTGTCGAAAACAATTTGGAGATGAAGCATGTGGATATTTTGTTATGAGGTATAAGCTCGAGATTATATCACTTGATATACTGACTCGTTCGAAGAGGTAACTTTTATTAAAATCAACCTTTTACTGTATTCAAAGCTCACACAGTTCAATACAAGTTATAGTGATAATATTTGTTTGTATCATGCAGACATTGAGCATTGATGAGCCGTATTTGGACGACATTGAGACTGTAAAAAGGCGGTGGACGAAGTACTTTCTTGAGGTTACTTCATTAGGAAAATAGTCTTATCACTTTGTTTACGTTTTATGGAATTTGAACTTTGTGACAAATTGTGGTTGATGACTGTTGGTGTACTGCATATGAAAACTATGGTTACAACTTGGTGTGAAATATTTTGGTTGTTCGTACATGTCATGTAACATGTTGAATTGTGGGAATATTTTGAATGTATGAATGTTATTATTTTATAGTGTTAGATATTTAGATTTATAGGTAAAAGAATGTATAATTAAATAAAATCGTTGAAAAATGCTAAAATCAGTTTTCTTAATAATTGATGTTACACTAAGTATTTTCACTACGGTTGTATCAATAATCGATGTACATAAATGTTTTTCACAACAGTCATTTTGAAAATCAATGTGAATTCGAGTCCTATGACATATGTTTCTATGAAACCAATGTTAAATGTCTTCATTTACCTCGATTTTTAAACGAAACGATGTTAAACATTTTCATTTACAACTGGTTTAACAATAATCGATGTGCATAAAACGTTATTCACATCGGTTTTTATGAAAACTGATGTAAACTCTAGTGTTTTCACATCGGTTTTTGTAAAAAACCAATGTAAATATTATTTTGATCAAATCGATTATTCATATTTTCGAGGCTTATTTTTTCCTTATGGCATCGATTTTATGAAAACCGAGGTGAACATATGTTTTTTCACATCGGTTCAAAATCGATGTAAAAAAAGCAGACTTTTAACGTCTTCTGTTTCAACATCGCTTTCAAAAAAGGGTTTTAACCAATGTAAACATATTTTTTAACCGATGTTAAAAGTGTTTTTCCACTATGCATCTTTTAGTACTTTATTGAGAAAATCCACGAGAGCTTATAGTTCAAGAAGAACGAGGAGAACCAGGAGCAGTCGTATGAAGGCGATTTCGAGCCTACTCTAGGTGGAAGAGGTCAACAACTTCAACGTTAACAATCTCGTCTGACCAATGCAAAGAAGTACATATGCTTTCAAAACCGGCGACAAGTACAAAGTGATGCAACGGCACATACATGCATATCATCTCATCTGGCCGAAATAAAGATTCCCACGACCAAACGCAATTCCCGATCCCGGGAGGGAGTAGCACTGCATCTACAGGTATGTTTTCTACTTTATTTTAGTACTCTCATGAAAACCATAGAAGAAAACTAGATGAATTTGTTTCTGCTTCGTCTCTTCCAATTTTACTGATTCTGATTTATATGAATTTTCTCAAATGGTTTTTGTTGACAACCGGGCTAGCCCAACAGGGAACCGGGCGAGAATGGCCTCAAAAGCCGAGCCGATGATCTAGTCCGATTGTTTGAGTGCCGACCTGAACTCTGAGCTAAAATACTTCTCCCGACCCCGTGAATCTTTTTCCTAGCTCGGCGTTTCAGGAGTCTCGCATGGGTGCCGATATGGAGTAGGAACCGGTATGGGTCGACGTTCTAAAGGATCGGAGAAGAAAACAAGAGTTCGGAGGCCGACCTAACTCTTCGAAGCGGCGATCCGAGGGGTGAGCGGGACTTGACAGTGACAAGGTCATGCCACTTGGAAAGTAATCATTAGTGATCGGACAGGACGCTATAGGCTGTCACCCTACAGTTGTTGGCCACGACATAAAGCCTGCCAACATTAAATGCCCCCCATGTGAGCATTAAATGTCTGGCAGGTAATGATTGGAAAAAACTCAAATCAAATTAATATCCGTCAGGGCAGCGCCGGACTGCATCGCAGGGACACTGTGCGACATGACTAGGGAACAATGTCCGAACAGTGCCGCATTTAAGGGCACTATAAATAGAACCTACCTTTATTTATTTGGTGGTTGTTGAATCCTCAACTAACAGACTCTCTCTCTACTTTCTCTCTCTAAACACTTGTAATTCTGGTAGCAAATATTAACTGTAAGAAAGAAACCGACCTCGTACGAGAGGCTGACCTCGTAATTATTTAATAAATCGTGATTATCTTGTATCTTTGTTCATTTTTTCCATTCCACATTTTCATTATATCGTATTTAACCGTTGATCGGATCCGTCCATCAACAGTTTTAAATCCGGCTGCGTCTCGGGTTTTACGTACTACTATCAATCGTGATACTCAATTATAAGTGAGAAAAAAAAATAATTTTGGCTCAAACTTTTGAAGCCTTAAACCAAAGAATTTTATTTTTTGTGCCATTTGGTCCAACCATTGGTAAGATAATTTTATATGAAAATTACTTTTCATTAGATATATGATAGTTTTACATTACAAAAGTGTTTAATTGCTTATACGGATTTCCTAATGCTCACATTGCTTTTAATTTCGCTCGTTTAATTTCACGTGCCTTGAATAGTCATAGAATCGGTAAAAAAAACTTTTTTCCATTTCTTTTGATAAGCTAGTGCTAATACTAAATGAGACAAAATATGTTATTGCGCCATTTGAACAATATAAGACAATGTTAAATGAGACAAAATAGAATGATGCATTATTGGACAAAAAAAAGTTATTATATTTTGAAAAAATATTTATCTCCTTTTATAATAATTTAATATGAATATATTTCTCCAAAATAATAATTTGGAACATTTCAAAAACTCAAATATAATTTAATAGTTTGTCAATAAGATATTGAATTGCTATTTTACAAAGAAATCGAGGGCATGACAGTGCAACCTTGGGGCTGAGGCTGCTCTAATATTTGTTAATTTGTGCAGAATTATGAAGTTATTATGTATATCGCTGATCAAAAAGATTAAAAAAAAATGAATAAAACATGAACATATATAGATTATGCAATTTGATACGCAATTTGGCTTATGATCCGAGTTTAGACCGACATCACCACGCATGGTCATTTGGTTGAGCTCCGGTGACTTGCAAAACATGTCGGGAAGAGGTCCTGGCGCAAAATTTTCAACGCTCAAGCCATATCTTTTTCGTGAAGATGCTAAAAATTGTATGCTAAATTAACGCGTAAATATGCATTATCTAAATTACATCTTGGTAAACTCCTTTTATATGGAGGTTATTTTCCTGCCCAAGTAAACTCCTTACAAAGAAAGAGTTCCTACCAATATCTTATTTCTTAGCATATAACACGTCTCTGATATCTTAGACGCCTTATTGAGATACACTTGTCATCCATACTAGGATTCTGTTTCCTCTCACGAGACGGCTCTTAGGTTCTTAGATCGTCACAACGACCTCGTGACCCATCTGTCGTAAATGCTTACCAGGTCGAAACCAAGACCCCAAGGTTGTATCGACACCTCATTTATCCGAGCTC